GAGGGGGGGGGGGGGGGGGGAAGGAGCCTTGGAGGGAAAATAATGAGTTTAGCTTTAGACAAACTAAATTTTGAAGTTATCTTGGAGACATACATGATATCCCATTTGAGTAGATAGGTCTCCACTCAGAAGATTTATCTGCGGTACAAATATATACTTTGTGAGAATAGAAGAGATTATTCTGCCAGTTTGTAAAAATGAGAACCACATCAGAGGCAAATCAAGATTAAACAGGTGAGTAGGGAACAGGGAAAGGAGAATAAGATGGAGAGAAAAGAACAACAGACGAAGGTCAATTCATAAGGAAATGAAAATTTTAAGAACTGAGTTATCGATAATAGCAAATACTTCAAAGAAATCTAATAAAGAGAAGGTTGAAACAAGTGTGCTGGTTTTAGCAATGGACTCAAAATGAGCATTATCCAAAACCCCAAACCTATTTCCTTTTCCAAATAACCCAATTTTATCAGTGGAAACTGTCATTCCACTCAAGACAGAATCACTACACTCACCCTTAAATCTTTCCAATTCTTAATTCACTCAACCTATTTAGTAAGTCTTATTATTTCATTCTTGGAAATATAAGTCATAATTTCTCTTTCTTAATTATTCACTACCCCATCTTAGTTAAGAACCTCACCCCCTCTAAACTGTATAACCATAACTTCCCTGCCTCCAATCTCTTCCTTTTGCAATCCATTCTGCATACCAGCTATGTGATCTTGAACATGTCATTTAATATTTGTAAGCCTCAATTTTCTCATGTGTAAAATGAAGATAATTCCTCCCCAATCTAAATCTTCATTGCTCAGTGCCAGTTAAGACACTACTTTTCAATAGTACACGTACAAGGTAACTAAGGTCTCATCAACAGATATGATAGTAGGAAGTTCTAATCTAAGAGATGTTGAGGAAGGAACCATAAGATGTGGTGAATGACAATATGCAGAAATGAAGTGGTGAAAAATAACAACAAAATTTAAAAAGTGACAAAACAAAATGTTGACTAAGAAAATTTTGTAGTACTATCAATGATAGAGATACTAGAAAAGCTTTGTCTTTCCAGCGTCTCTAAAAGCAGGGAAAGGGGCATTCAGGAAATTAAAGGATGAGGATAATGGTGCATATAGTTTTCAATGATGGTTGGGTAGGCAACCCCAACATAGATTTCTGATGTGATGAAAAGAAGGTAATTTTGTACTTTAAGAAGAAAAAGATAAAAGAAAGGCAGTCAAAAAGTGAGGAAAAATAAGAGTGCAGACAGAGAATCAAAGTACAAGTAAAGAGATAGGGATGGTCAGTAACATTTTAAAAGAAGCGATGGTTGTAAGATAATAAATGGCAAAAGGGACAGCGCAGGTTCAACAAATAAGAACTAAGAGAAAATGGAGTTCACCTAACTAGAAGATCATCAGTGAATTATGAGCAAACAGACTCACTGGCTTGATCAAGATGAAAACCAGATGATAATATATAAAATAAAATAAAACTAAAAAACTAGTAATAAAAAAATAAAAGCTTTAGGATTAATCCCAATTATACCTTAAGCCCTTTGAAACAATTACACTGACACTTGGTTCCATAAGAAGACATGTTTTAAAAACCATTTAGAGGAATGCTCACCTCATGGTGTATTCGCTGATAAACTTTTTGTTCATTGTCTAATACTACAAAAGATTCAGAGGGTGCTGCATCCCCATTGAAAATGAAGCTTAAATCCCCTCGTTGGCACTTCATGTCAGTAAAGTCTATGAGAGTAGTGTCAAGCCTGTGAAAGATATGTGGATGAGAAATTCTGACAAATAAATTTCAATAACAATCCATAATAATTAAACCAAACTTTGTTCCTTCTAAACTCAAACCAAGATACTAATACCATATTTCAAAGTCAAATTTAGAGAAAAACACACACAACTGAGTTTAAAGTATCTTATTTTAAAAAAACACACCAAAAGGATATTTAAATATGTTCCATTTTTACTTGTATTTCATTTTTCTGAATATATACTCTAATAAAGATTGTTTCCCCATTGTTGAAATATTTTGCCTTTGTTCCCTACCATTTCCCTTACTGTAACTAATCCATAAAAATAACTTCAGGACAGAAAAAGAAAGCAGCCGAAACCGGTTTGGCTCAGTGGCTAGAACCTCGGCCTGCAGACTGATAGGTCCCGGGTTCAATTCCGGTCAAGGGCATGTACCTGGGTTGTGGGCACTTCCCCAGTGGGGTATGTGCAAGAGGCAGCTGATCGATGTTTCTCTCTCATCGATGTTTCTAACTCTCTGTCTCTCTCTCTTCCTCTCTGTAAAAAATGAATAAAATATATTTTAAAAAAAAGAAAAAGAAAAAGAAAGCAAACCTGTCTAATATTCTTTGATTCCTTTAAGACCATGTTACTGACTCAGCAGAGTAATTAAGAAGGATTAAAAGCAATGGATGTACCACATTTTTGGCCTTTTGCTCTATATCTATGCCCTATCCCTAACCATCAGGTACCAAAACTTGCTCCATCCTTCCACTTGGTAACCCGCTTAACTTATCCCAAAGTCTTTCAGCCTTCTGTTTGACTTCCTAGATTCAATTAGCATTCTCTTTTCCAACATCTCCACAGCTTGAAAATCTTATGAATCATTCCTATGTCAAAAGCTCACAGATTCACTTTAGTGTATTTATTGTGCTCTTTGGTAACCAAGACCTGAGAGTCTACCCCAATGAATTGCTCCCAAATTTCACAAATCACTACTTGCTGAAATTAGGGAGAATACTGAAATGGGAAAGTTCCCAAGTACCCTAAAGTTCTTCAATCTTTGAAGACTTTGTAGATCACATCAGGACCTCTCTAACTGCTCAAAACATAGTCCTTAATCTAAGAAATGGGTTGACACATTTGTTACATGATGGTGATCATGCCCAAGGAAACCCCTTCAAGTCTCTGTGAAAGATCCACTCCAGCTACTGAGTTCTAATGCAATTATAAGAATTCATTACTTTGTAGGCTTTTCAGTTTTCACCCTGAACAAGGCAAAGTGAATGGGCATTCTTGGTTTCCCTAAACAAAAAAGCTGAGAAATGAAACATCTCACATACTGCATCAAAAGAATAACGAGGGTTATTTTTAAAAGTAAAAGTGAACCCTGGCTGGTGTGGCTCAGTGGTTGGGTGTTGTCCTTGCATCAAGAGGTCACTGGTTTGATTCCAGGTCAGGGCACATGCCCAGGTTGTGGGCTCAATCCCCAGTAGGGGGTGTGCAGGAGGCAGCAGATCAATGTTTCTCTCCCTCTCTCAAATCAATAAAAAACTGTGTTTTTTTAAAGTGAAAGTGATCCTATTAATAATTTTACAAGGGTAACAGGGATGAACCAGACCAAATAGGAAAGTTTGATTATCCTATGTGCAAGGAGCTCTGAGCCATATAAAATATACATATTCCCTCAGAATGAAATCAAGAAGAACTAAAAAAAAGCAAGTCACCAACTCCTGTAGGGATGAACCCTGTCTGCTGCTTTATAACTGAATTGTGGCTTCTGGTCTGCTGCCAGTGGCCTGCTATTGCACTACTAGTGCTTGTACTGCTAAACATGTCTTGTTGTTGCTTGTACATATGGCATAAGAGAAAATAATGCTAGTTAAAGGGGCGTATCCCTTCCCTTTATGGCTACTGATAGTATCAAAAAGAAACGGATCAATTTATGTAAGTGCCCTATTTGGACTCTAAGCTTCAGCTATCAGGAAACTCTACACCCCACATAAAAAAACTTTTTAAAAAGGGTGGGTGGCCAGAGCAGTCTCTGCCTCCATTCCATTCCTGCCCATCCTGGATGACAGTGGTAGTGAGTTGCAAGGGGTAAGGGTGAAAATACTGAGAAAGGAGATACAAAGAGAGGCAGAGATAGATTTACGTGGTGATATTTAAGCTCCTAGATGTAGTCACACCTAAAATCAATAACAGTCAATTTTTATTTCATCTGTACTTTTATAATTTGCAATTGAAATAAGGCTACCTAATACATCTTCTGCAATATCCGTGATTTATTATATGGCCTTATAAATATCACACATGCCTCATAATGATAAAATGTATCATGATATTTTAATGAATTAACTATTCCTTCGCTTTAAGCCTATGAACCTAAATATTAATTTTTGACATGTAATGGCTATGAAGAACAAAAAATCTTTATATAAATGCAAAGATTTAAACAGAAAATATTTTTTGATATAAAATCTTGAAAAATGCCAAATAGCACTGAAAAAGGAAATAGAGCCTTCTCTTGAGACAGGAAAAGCCTGAAATGGGGCAAAGTTTGCAATGATCATTTCAGTCAATGGGTACAGATCACCTCAAATTATTAAAATTAATAGTGAAAATATTTTAGTATTCACAATAAAGCTGCTCACACTTTCCTATTTCTACTAAAGTATTCATCTCTTGCCCTAACCGGTTTGGCTGAGTGGATGGAGCATTGGCCTGCGGACTGGAAGGTCCTGGGTTCGATTCCGGTCAAGGGCATGTAACTTGGTTGCGGGCACATCCCCAGTGGGAGATGTGCAGGAGGCAGCTGATCGATGTTTCTTCTCTCTCATCGATGTTTCTGACTCTCTATCACTCTCCCTTCCTCTCTGTAAAAAATCAATAAAATATATTTTTAAAAAAATCAATATTTTTAAAAAGTTTAAATATTAATAAAAAAATAAAGTATTCATCTCTCCTTGACACCAAAGAACATATTTACATGATCAGATGCATGTCATGAGGTATGAGTAAACTTTAAAGATTTCTTTGATATATTTAAAATTCAGCTTTATTTGAAGTGATGTTTTAAAAAACTAAGTCTCATGACATTTAAATTTGAAAGTTTTTATTTAATGTTAACATATTTTTTAAAAGTTAATTCTTGTCATATAAGCAAAAAAACTTTGCCAAACTTCCTAAAATCCAGCCTTTCCATTAATTTGATAAACTTTGTTTAGAAATAAGAGCTTTAGAACCTATCTTTTTTCTCCTTCATCCTCAGCTGCTTGTAAGCCCTAGGTCTGAGTGTCTTACTACATTAAAGCAGCTTCCTCTTAACCTACATTTCTATAGCAATGATTCTCCCTCAGGCTCCTATTTTCATGTCTCCATTTTAACCATTTTGTGGTTTTATTATCTATATTTATTACGTAATATTCATAATAAAATTTACTTCCAAAAGTCATATATAAATGTGATATATTTTTTTAAAAGAGAAAGTTCCTCCTTTTTTGCTATTTCTAAAAATCAAACAAAACTATAACTAACCTTAAAGTATAACACATGGAATAAAATACTATTCTCCCAAATTAGCTACTACCTTTGGCAAGTGCCTATATTAAACATTTTTAAATTGATGAATAATTTTTTATGAATCCATAATATACTGTTAACAATGGGCTGCTGAATTACACCTACATCATTAACAAATCCTCTCCTAGTTTCTCTTGTATATTTTTCTGTAATTTCCAAGGTTTCTATAATTATCATGAACTTAATGTGCAGGAGCACTATCATAATTAGAAACTTCTGAAGAGGTTATTTTTTAAAAAAACAAAAATTTAGAAACTTCTACTTTAATCTAATTCTACTGCTTGAGAATAATTATCCTAGAACTTACTTCCAACTAACGTTATCTCTTCCTCTAAATTCAACATATTACATAATGATTTTATACAGTTAGTTTTTTAAAATTTCTGCCTTGTGACATGGTGGGAACTGACAGGAAGTTGGAGGTCCTGGCTCAGCTACTAATTTGCAAAGTGCTCCTATAAAAATCACTTCACTTTCTCATCTATAAAACAACAGTTTACATGAAATAATATTTAAGACATTTCCAGTTCTAACCTCTTACATATCCAAATTAATATTCTGGATATGTATAAAGATATATATGTAATTTTGTATATGTATATATAATTTATAAATATACTAATATACATATATATGTGTATATATATATGTTGGCATATTCACTAGCATTATATATAACTTCCATATACTTAATTCACAAATATACCTGCATTAATATAAAGCTAAAGATAATAAGGAATGATAAAAGTAAAATTCTGAAATGAGTAAAACAGATTTTCCACATGATCCAATCATCAATCTTAAGTTTTAAAAGGAAACAGAAGAATATTAAATTTAGTTTTAAAAAGTTAACTAGAATAAATGATTGAACAGATGAATGGATTCATGGATGGGTACATTGGGAACAGAAGGGTATAAGAGTAGGAAAAGAAGGACAAGAATTAGGTCTTCTACTTATGTGTCCCTTATTCCTTAAAAAGCCAGGATCAAGGAGATGACCATCTTAAATCTTCTTAGTATTACATCATGTTCTTCACTGTTTGCCTTCTAGATATTCTGTAGTTGAATAAGAATAATACCTTTGTTTTAGTCAAGAGTTGATACCTTTGGTTATCTGTATATAGTATGTCTCAAATGAGATAAAATGTTGTGACTTTATTACAGCATGTTTAAGTTATACTACATCCTAATGTAAGCTATTACTAGAGGGGTAGGGGGAAAGATTCTTCTAAATCTCAATTTTCTATTACTCAGGAAAAAAAATCAAATCACCTTACCTGATATTGATACCTTGTTTGTATATTTTACATGCATCGGAAGGCAGAATTCGGGAAAGTAAAGGCACTATATTTTTTAAAAAGAAGAGGTAAAAATTAATTAGAAGAATAACGTGAACATTTTAGGAATTCATCAAAATTAAAATAATTTCTTTTGAAATAGTATTTTCCCACCTAAAATATACGTAAAGCAATTTTGAGCAACTACAAGTATCTATTATTGAATTGTATTTAATTGTATTTGCTGTATAGCTCACCACATTCCCCACCACGACCCCTGCACACCACCAGTAGCAGAGTTGATATAATGTTCCTGTGGATACATATTGTAGGATATTATTATAGACTAGAGGCCCGGTGCATGAAAATTCATGCACTGGAGGGGGGTGTCCCTCAGTCCAGCCTGCCCCCTCTCACAATCTTGTAGCCCTCAGGGGCGGGAGGCAACCTGCAATCAGGAAAAGGCAATGCCCCCATCATACCTCTGCTGCTGCCACTGCCGGCAGTGCAAGCTCAGCTGGATGTGGTCACCTGAGCCTTGGACAGCCCTGAGCGGCTGGGCAGCCACCATCTGAGGCTTGCCTGTGCCTTGGGCCAGCCCTGGGAGGCTGGGAGGCTGAGGGGATTGTGGGACTCCAGAGGCAGGTGCACGGCAAGGCTCCCCCCCCCACAAAATCTTACCATTTGTGATAGCATAGATGGACCTAGAGGGTATTATGCTATGTGGAAAAAGTCAGTCTAAGAAAGACAAATACCGTATGATTTAATTTACATGTGGAACCTAAAGAACAATATAAACGAACATACAAAACAGAAACAGACAGATACAAGTAACACCACCTGGAACCAAGATGCTAGTATAGGTAAAAGCAAGTATTTGCAGCCTCCCACAACCACATCAAAATTGCAACTAAAATCCTATATAATAAAGAGCTAATATTCTAATTAGACTATGCAAATTGACCGAACAGCAGAATGACCAGTGGGTGGGGGGTGGGGCCAGCGAACAGGTGGCTCCAGACCAGCAATAGTATTTTCCCACCTAAAATATACGTAAAGCAATTTTGAGCAACTACAAGTATCTATTATTGAATTGTATTTAATTGTATTTGCTGTATAGCTCACCACATTCCCCACCACGACCCCTGCACACCACCAGTAGTAGAGTTGATATAATGTTCCTGTGGATACATATTGTAGGATATTATTATAGACTAGAGGCCCGGTGCATGAAAATTCATGCACTGGAGGGGGGGGTCCCTCAGTCCAGCCTGCCCCCTCTCACAATCTTGTAGCCCTCAGGGGCGGGAGGCAACCTGCAATCAGGAAAAGGCAATGCCCCCATCATACCTCTGCTGCTGCCACTGCCGGCAGTGCAAGCCTCGGCCGGCTCTGGTTACCTGAGCCTCAGGCGGCCCTGGACAGCTGGGCAGCCGCCATCTGAGGCTTGCCTACGCCTCGGGCCAGCCCTAGGCAACTGAGCAGCCAACATCCGAGGCTTGCCTGTGCCTCGGGCTGGCCCTGGGCAGCTGAGGGGCTGAGGGAGGGTCTGGCCACACCATACGCCTGCCACCCCTCTTCCCCCAGGGGGCCTGAAAGCACTGGGTGACTCTGGTGGGGTTGTAGGGACTGCGTGCCATCTTTGTGATGGAGTGACAGTCAATTTGCATATCTCCTCTTTACTAGACAGTATGAGAAAACTATGTCCTTTTGGTAACTAAACCCTACTGAATGGGTAACTGGATGGACCTGAATCCTATCTGATCCTTTAAATATAATGTGATTAAATAGTAGAAAATAGCCCGCTGGTGTGGCTCAGTGGTTAAACATCGATCTATAAACCAGAAAGTCACAGTCTGATGCTCTGTCAGGGCACATGCCTGGCATGCCAGTGGGCAGAGGGAGGGGATGGCGATGGCGAGGGGGGCAGCGGCAGCAGTGGCGGGCGATTCGGGGTAGGGTCAGCCACTCGCTGTTCCCAGATTGGCCCGCCGGGGTTGTCTCCCACAGAGGGAGGCCAGACTGCAGCTTAGGCCCACTCCCCGCCAGTTGGATATCCCCTGAGGGCTCCTGGACTGCGAGAGGGCACAGGCCGGGCTGAGGAACGCCCCCTTCCGAGTGCACGAATTTTTGTGCACCAGGCTTCTAGTAAATAGATAGTAGAAAGTAATGTGTATAACAGAAAAAGACATTTTTAAATCTAAATAATTGAATTTAAGTTTGAATCCCAAATATGTGACCTTGGTTACTTAAGCACACTGAACCTCAGTTTCAAAAATCTATAAAATCCTACTGTTTACTTATAGATGTCTATATTCCATATTGCTCACATTCATATCACAGCTATCTTTTGATAGCTTTTTATTAGTTATTATCTGCCATACTTTGGGGAAATAGGAGTTATTGTATGGATGAATAAATCTGTGTATCAGGTTATAATAAACTACCACATACCAAAAAAGAAAAAAATATGAAGTTCAAGATTCCTGAAAGTAAGATCATATCAGATGTGTATGTTAGTGTGTGTGCATGGATACAGATAGGTAGGTAGATAGATAGACAGATATCTTACACATATATGTATATATACGTGTGTGTGTGTGTGTGTGTGTGTGTATATATATATAATTTGAGACAGAGAGGAAGGGAGAGGGATAGATAGAAACATGGATGAGAAACATCATTGATTGGCTGCCTCCTGCACACCCCCTACTGGGGATTGAGCCCACAACCCAGACATGTGCCCGAACGGGAATTGAACCCTGACCTTTTGGTTCCTGGGTCAACACTCAACCACTGAGACACACCAGTGGGCTACAGGTATATTTTTTTAAATTCAGTGTTTAAAATGGGTGCTAAATCAACCTGGGTTAGAAAGAAACAAAAATTTCAGAGAAAATTAAAGACTAGTTTTTTAGTTAGCTTTTTCAGAAGTATCAATATTTTCTAAACACTAAAAGTATACTTAATATATCAATTTCTTTTTAAAATCGTGAGAGGTTATTGAATCTAAAATGATTTCCAGGAATGAAGACTGTTTTCTAGACATTTTACTATACAAAAATAAGAAAAGTTTACTGCCCAAAGAGAATGGAATACCAACTAACAGTTACCCTAATCAAAGTATATAAGAAATCATTTTCTGATAAAAAAAAAATCCCTTATACGAAACAATAGAAGTTGAGAAAAGCAATAGTAGTGTAAATTTATGTCAATGGTCAAAGCTCTTCTTTCATGCTCATTAATTGAAATCCAGTTTTCCTTCCTCAAGTATTTGATGAAGCATGAAAAAAATGATCAGAAGATAGCATTCGAAATTAATTTAACCTAATCTACTACATTTTTTTGAAATTGTATGGAAACCTACAAAAACAAAATTTAGAAAAATCAGAAAAGGAGGAAGAAATGAATGCAAAGAGAAAATAAAATGCTTAGAAGTAATTTTTCATAAGCACAATTTCAAAAATTATTTCATAAATAAATCTCAAGAAAAAAATCTAACGCAGAAAATAAGAAAATCACTTAAATATAAAACAAGAATGATGGAATATACTTGTAGTAATTGAAAATGTTTATGAAGAGCATTTAAAGATGTTAAATATGTTTATATAAAATAAAAAATCAGGATATGCAAAAAAGAAGCTTGGTTCTTTGGGAGAGTGGTAAAACAACTACAAAACAAAAGGAAAGAGGGAATAGTATCAACAAAAAAGAATACTGCTATGCAATGAATTCTAAAAATAGAGCAATTTATATTTTCCCAATTCTGTGATGACTTTTTCCCTTTCCCGTGTAAACTGAACAATTATACTCTCTATATTTTAAGTTAACTCAGTATAATCTGAGAGTCTAACATGCCATTCCAAAGGCAGCATAATTTACTGAACTGAAAAATGAAGAGTCTCTAAATTTAAGTTTTGGTTTTGCTATCACTTACTTCCTGATTTTAATTAGCATCTCTAAGCCTAATGTTTTCCATTCATAATATGCAAATAACAACCCCAAATATATAGGGTAGAATGAATATTCTGTAGATAATGAGATAAAGAAACTTTTTAAATTATCAGTTTTCCTGTTGAAACATGTTATATGCATAATCCTAATTTTGAAGTAGTGATTATGATACCGTAAATTATTTAACATTTTACAATATATAGGGCTTCCTTCAAAAGCATGATTACATTTCATTTACAACAAAACAAAAATTTGCAAAAGATGGGGCAATTATTATCCCTACTTTAACCAAGTCTGAGGCTATTTTCAGCCAAACACTGAATATGACAGCACAGGAAAGAGTAGAGTTTGTATGCTCCACTTCCTTTAAATTAAACTTAATCCTGGGATCTCAGTATTTCTTAGATTCCCCCTAACTTCTGGGTTGCCCTCCCCCCTTTTTTAGGGGTTTTGACAAGGAGAAGAAAGATGCCTGAACTCTAGAATAAAGTTTGATAATCGAATCTAATAATAAAAATTATCCAGTGTTTTTAAATCCAAAGTGTCTAAGCTAAATCTAGTCAATGAGTTTTAGTTTTTAGAATTAACATATGCCATCTAACCATCAGGAGCTTGGTTTGACACGAAATCAGAAAAATCCTTTCTCAGCAACAAATAGATGTGCTGACTTTTTTGTGTCAAAGTCAAGTTCTCAAAAAACCCCAACACTTTCAACAAGTACCTCAGGGGTTGCATCATGAATTTGATTATGCAACATTTATAATGTGTTTGTAACTATGGATGCATGTACACTTTCAGGAGTGATTACATCCATTTCTATTTCTTTATATAACTGAACTGTCACTTTCAAAATATTTTAAAACATTTTGCTCAGCAAGATAAATGGACTATTTTAGAATTTAAACCACTAATATTACTAAGAGAATCAGTTAAAGAACCATTATACTCAAGGGACACCCTTATTTTAAGATCACCAAGGAAGATAGGGTCTCAGTAAAATGTTAAAAAACATAGTGAAAAAAATGTATTTTGACTTTAGACGAATTTGACTTGGAGCTCTTTTATTATTCAAAGCCACTACAAACCTCTTTTCTTCTCAGTGGTCTAGTACACCAGGGCTTCTGGATGATATATAAAGCAAAAAGGCAAGGTAGGTCTATCAGAGTAACAAAATCATGTGTGATTTTGATGAAGCCAAAACTAGCCTGATCGGGTAGAATTGTAACAATTTTAGAAATAACTAATTTTATTTGGGAATTAAAACTTTACATTTAGAGATGAAAAACATTAGGAAAACCTTAATCATCCATGCTGTAAAGTATTATGCAGCTGTTAAAATAAATGAATCACTTCCTCATGAATATGGTAGGACGCCTGTGATATATTAAATAAGAATGACAAATTGTATAATCATATAATAGTATAATTCCATTAAAAAAAAAGAATGCTCAGGCCCAGCTGGTGTGGGTCAGTGGTTGCGTGTTGACCTATGAACCAGGAGGTCACGGTTCCATTCGGGTCACAGTACATGCCCAGTTTGTGGGCTCCATATCCAGTGGGGGATGTGTAGGAGGCCACTGATAAATAATTCTTTCTTATTGATATTTCTATCTCTCTTCCTCTCCCTCTCTCTCTGAAATCAATAAAAATATATTTTTATAAAAAGAATGCTAAGCATATATTTGTGCACCCACACTCACACATTTGTAAACATTAAAAAAAGATTTTGAAACGTTAGTATGAAACGTTAACAGTGATTTCCATATTTGTCAATATCTTACTTTTATAATTACTTTATGATTTATTTTTACAATTATTTTTGGGGTAAGTATCATAGAGCATTCAAATATCTTTATATCATAAAATTAATTCAGATGCTTTAAAAAATGTAAGCATATTTACACACACATTACATTTGTTTAAAACTTTTAAACAAAATTTAGTTGTTTTGGCAGTTTAGTTAGTTAAGGTCACTAGGATCAAGCACCCTATTTAAACAATAGGGAAAAGAGAAACTTACTAAGGTAAAATAAATGACTGAAAAATATCTTGGAATTAAGGTCTTTTATAAATAATAGAAACAGTGTGCAACCAAACAGTATGTTAAGGTAGTGGCTATAACCCTGCCGGTATGGTTCAGTGGATAGAGCATCGGCCTGCAGACTGAAGTGTCCCTATTCTAGTCAAGGGCACAAGCCAGATTGCGGGCTTGATCCCCAGTAGGGGGCGTGCAAGAGGCAGTCAATCAATGATTCTCTCTCATCACTGATGTTTCAGTCTTCCTCTCCCTTCCTCTCTGAAGTCAATAAAAATATATTTAAAATGAAAAAAAGACAGTAGCTATAAAGTATAGAGGAAAAGTGGCCAAAATGATTCAAAGTTGATCAAATATCCAAAATCAAATGTTAACCAAATTCTGCACATTCAGGGATCCAAGTACTATATCAAACTTCCTTTAATTCAGTAATCTAATAATCTCATAATTGTTCTCTCTTCCTCTGAACATTCCTTAAAGTACTATAATATTTAAACCTGCATTTCATTGTTTAAAAATGTAAGACATTTTTAATCTTAAAATAAAAATTATAAAAGTTACTAATCAGGTTGAGATAATGAAATACCACTTCAATGCTTTACAAACAACCACTTCAGTTTATTACATTCAACATAATGGAAAATATTAATTTTCCTGGGGCAAGTATCAAATTTGTTATGTTAACAAGTATATACAATAGTTATTTTTTACATTTGCAATTCTGCGTGTGTACATATGTTATAGTAAAACATAGCACACTCTTACCCCAGCTTTGAAAATCCCAGTGAAGTTCTAGATAAAAGTCACCTAGCTAGAAAATGAAATATGAATAATTACTGAATGCACCTTAGTTAATAGTTCTTATATCTACTTAACATTTTGCTTTTTAAAAATCTGTTATCAGTTAAGATCTATAGACAAAAATAGAAAATTTCAATGTTTAGATTAGAGAAAAAGAAAATAATGTCCATTATTTAAAATAAAACATTACAATAGCACACATTTATCTACAAAGGAAAATATGCACCACTATAGATTTTATAATATTTTAATTACATAGGAAAATATCTGAAACTGATAGACATTTAAATTTGCATAAGTAAATATTCCTTTTCTCAGCATAACTAAAATAACAATAAGTATTATTGTAAAAATAGTTAATAACTTTAGAAGTGTATAAAAAATGATTTCCAAAATGATTATTTATATAGCCTCATAATGGTCTAAAAAAACAACCCATTAAAATAGAAACTTTTATCTCTGCAAAGTAATAACACAAAGGTTTATTAAATCTGAAATAATATGTCACCAAATGAGAACTACAGAGTAAAATTTTATTTCACAAATTAAAAACTAAATATCCAAAGACTATAACTGTTAAAGAAACTATTATAATCAAATATTCTAAAAAATATATATATATTTATATATCTTCAGAGCTCAAAAAAAAAGGCATACCTAAGAAAAGACATAATCATCATCACAGGTCTATCTTTCTTCCACAGTTCTTTTAGCCATCAAAAATACAGAAGAAAACATCAGAAAATAAACCTCTCTTTCTATGCCAGGACTCCCAGCTCTTACCATCAAGAGGTAGGGCACAAAAAGAATTATACAAGGAAAATGCAAACTGCTCTTGCTAGAAGCAGGGGCTGCAGCTCTTAGAAATCTTTTAATCCAAAGGACAAAGAAAAATTATTGCCATTAACTATGACCTACCTCCTTTTTTCTTAGAGCTCTCATCTAAGAAAGCAGTAATTCTTTATTTACTTTCCTAGTTTAAAGTGAATGGTGGTTCCCATTAAGAGTACATTTATACATCATAATCAGAGTATTTTGTTATGTTATTATTGCTTAACTTAAGCAGGATTTTTACCATTTCTTGACCCTTAATAATTAGTGAGAAATTAGACTATATTTTAAAAAATGCTTAAAATCACACTTACAATTATTCTTTGAATGCAAAATCAGCAAAGAAATACAGCCTACCTCTTTCAGGGCTTTTAATAATCGAGGTCGTTTTTCTTCAACACTTTCCCTGGATTGCTGTTTAAGCTTCCTTAAAAGAGCAGTAACTAAAATTTAAATTTAAAAAAAAATTAATTTAAAATAGATTTCACCATACTAAAAAATTTTATTTCACAAATAAAATGTTATTTCACTGACTTTTATACAGATATATTGAGAGATGTAGTTAGTAAATAAGTTTAGTAAGGCTGTTATTATTCACACTAGTTTGTTTCCCTGGTTTTAAATTATCTATATGAATTTACCTGACTGAGCCAAGATTTACCAATCTCAATCAGATGATGCAATGTCCTGTTGTAACACTGATCTAAAAGATCTCAAAGTTAGCAGATCTCAAAAATCCCATTGGATACCACTTTTCTAAAAACGTAAGTATCTACAATTGTTACCAGGTACTGTATATCTTCAAATTTTCACTAGAGGTTGTATTTTCACATAATACTAATACAGAAATGAGTCCTATTCTATCTTTAACAATAACTTCTGAATCTAATAAAACCTGAAGACCTCCTTAGTATTTTCTCTAATAGTTAAGAGACTCAAATGTAAACACTGTATTAAAGTACAAACCCCAGCTTTACTACTTACTAGCTATGTATAAACCTGGACAAATTAGAAAATTTTCCCAAACTTAAGTTTCTTTTTTTTCATTTGTCAAAAAAGAATAAAGTAAAATCTACTATATAGTTACTGTTAAGCCTCAATATAAATTGCTTACTCACTGTGTCTACAATTAAGTAAATATGATTTTTATTTATTAGAATGATGGTCTAAAACTGACTAGCAAAAATCAGTTAACATTTACTGAAATAAGGGAAAACACTAGACTTGAATGAATTAAGGCTAGCAAAATAAGAAGATGGAAAAGTGTGCATTGAGATTAAAAAATATATACATCAATACGTAATTTCTCCTCCTGGTCCTGACATTTTTTTCATATACGAATATATGTATGTAAAAATACTATTTTTTCTATTTTACAATATGCAGTCTTATAAACTATTTCAAGCCTATATGGAATACAGACAAAAACAAAAGGTTAAAAAAAGAGAATGCCCTAGCTGGTTTGGCCCAGTAGGTAGAGCACTGGCCCGCAGACTGAAGGGTCCTGGGTTTGATTCTGGTCAAGGGCATGTGCCCTGGTTGCAGGCTCATTTCCCAACCCTGGTCAGGAGCCTGTGGGAATCAATCAATGTGTCTCTCTAACATTGATGTTTCTCTCTCCCTCCCTTCCACTCTCTCTAAAAAACAATGGAAAAATATCCTCGGGTCAGGATTTAAAAATTAAAAAAAACGAAAGAAACAGAGAGAATGGCAGTGAAAGATTGAACCAGATTTGTTTTGTCCACATAGGCCAAATTAGGAAAAGGCCAAGGAATAATTCTGAAGAACAGTAAAGTTTATTCTTACTTTTAACCATAGGTCTAACAATAATTCCAATATATTTTAAAAAGCCAAAAAGCAAAGAACAATGTTTAAATTACTAAAGATCTTTCAGAACAGTAAAAAAGGCTGAGACTAGAAGCCAAAGAACATAAGACCTGATCTCATTTATAAACTGGCTGTGTTACATATATTTTTAACACAGTAAAAAAAACTCCAAAGCAAAAATAAACAAACTAGCTCTGTGACCTAGGTCAATAATTCCCAAATACAAGTCTACATTTCAGTGACCAATTGTTCAAGTTTCCAGTGATATGCAGCAAAATGAAAAAATTGGAAACTAGGATGGTTTTAATTTATAGATTACATATTATTTTAATTCAAGAACTATTCTTGCTATTATTTTTGGCTTTAAAAATGTCTTTTAATAAAATGATCACAGAAGAAAGCAGTTATCTTTTTTTTAAAAATATATTTTTATTGATTTCAGAGAAGAAGAAAGGGGGGGAGGGAGAGGAAGGGGAGAAGAGAGAGAGAGAGAGAGAGAGAGAGAGAGAGGAGAGAATCATTGATCGGCTGCCCCCTAATGGAGATCGAGCCCTCAACCCAGGCATGTGCCCTAGACCAGGAATTGAACTTTGATCTCCTGGTTCATAGGTCACTCAACCACTGAGCCACGCAGGCTCAGTGAAGTTATTTTTTTTTTAAAGTTCTTATACACTAAAATAAAAATGTTAGCTATTCTGCATCAATCCTCAAATATTTTTCTGGTCTGTGAAATCCAAATAGTCTAGAACCAATGACCTAGATAATCATTAAGATTCTTTACAGATTCAAATTGATATGAATCTGGTTAACCTTCATGTTTGTTACAATTTAACTCTAATATCAGAGATACATTACCCAAATGTAGTAGCCTTTCTTCCTCACTATAAGCTCAAATACTTTAATAAATCTTTATTCAACCTCTCTTGCCTTCAAATTGAAATGGGCCTCTGTTGAATGTAAATAATAAAAAGAATTCAATTCCTAGGCTGAAAAGGTATCTTCTTAATGTACTAGTAAAGCAGAAGCCATATTTTTTCAACTGAACATATTGAAACTGACTGAAGAAGGCATTCAATAAATAACACAAAATGACCAAACATTATTAAAAAGGCAGTGACAATATATAGCACAGTGATATGTGCAAAAAGAGATTCTTGTTCTATGAGACTTCACATTTAAAAGAGAATCACATCAACTCAAACTTTCTTATGGAAGCAGAAACATTCAGAATGCAATTATACAAAATTACTACTATGTTTTGGGGGTTTCAGTATTTGTACTTCCATATTTTAAAAGTCTTACGCAAATGGTATCAGATAAAATTCATACTCAAATAAAATTAGCTTTAGAGTATTTAGATGGTATTAGATAGAATTCATACTCAAATGAATTTATATTCCAATAAACTACAATTAATTTAACTTTCTCTTGCATTCTTCTCCCAGTATTTTCAAGTTTTCCATTTATTGTTCCTAAAGCTTCTAGAACTATGCTTTATTGCTCCAAGTATTACTTAAATCTATACCTTCTGCCCTCCACTTCCTTCTACACTCCAGTCTAATTATTTCCCACTTCTTACTTGGAGAGTTCTTCCTGGATGTGCCACACATAACTCAAACTGACCAAGCTTAACACCTAATTATTTAAATCCCATATTGCTCTTCCTTCAAAATTCTATACATCAATTAATCAATGAGATCACCATTAATACATGATAGAGATCTTGGAGTTACTCATAATACTTCTATCACTATCCAGGAGATAATCAACCATTGTCAATTCTTTCATTTAATTATCTTTCTAATCTATCCCTTACTTCTCTAAACACAGTATCTCTTCTTTAAGACAAGATTACCACATTTGATCTAAAGATTTTTTTCTCTAAAAACCTATTGTCTCCCACTCAATCAAAAAGTCTTAGGTTTTATCTAATAATCTCAAACCCTGCTTTGAAGTCTTCTGGAGCTCCAGCCCTGATTGCTGGCTACAGAAGACTTCCCCAGTGGGGGGCATGCAGGAGGCAGCCAATAAATAATTCTCCCTCATCACTGATGTTTCTCTCTCTCTCTCCCTCTGCCTTCCTCTCTGAAATCAATAAAATTATTTTTTTAAAATATCACTGTACAGAAATCACTTTTATAACATTCTTAACTAATATGTGCCTCAATTTTTACATTAAAATTTATTACTATATGTCCAATAATTTATTTTCTTAGAAAACTGTTTATTGGTCTTCCCATAAATTATGAATTACTAAAGAGTAGAAACCATGTCTTTATTCTCTACATCTTACTATATACACATGTTTTATAGTAAGGACTCAATAAATATTCACTAATGCTGAATAAGAGAATCTTTGAAAGTCACTTAAGCCTCAAGGTGGGTCAGAAATCCAGGAGCCCACCTCATTTACTCTCCACTCTGCTAATCATTTAGAAATATCAGAACCCTTTCTGGGTAACTCAGCTGGTTAGAATGTCATCTGATATACCAAGGTGTGGGTTTGATCTCTGGTCAAGGCACATACAAGAATCAATCAATTAATGCATAAATAAGTAGAAAAACAAATCGATATTTCTTTCTCTTTTTCTCCCCCCAAAAAATCAACAAAAATTTTTAAAAAACATATCAGATCAAAGTTTATTCAGACCAACTGCTATAACTTTTAATTTATTCTCACTTTCTTAGAGCTGTATATTTTTATCCTTTTCCTAAAATAATTCTAGGGTTAGTACAGTTTCTTGCTCTCATAAGGGTCCCTTGATATTTGTCCAGAAAGGACAACTCTCAATGAATAACTTACATATACATATACATGTACATAGTAGTATAGTTGTTAAAATATCATAATTTTGTCTCACATTAAATCTTAAGCCCAAATCTAACTTCACCATTAAAAGTTGTCCAAGGTGTTCAGAAACTCCACAGATAGAATATGTGGATTACTTGTAAAGCTAAAACATAAGAAAAGACCCATAAGAGCCCAAAACTTAGCATCAAAAATAAAATTAAAACCAAATAACAACTCAGTAGCGTTCAACATTATGCTTTTTTAAAAATAAAACTGCCAGATTTTTTTATAGTTCCTTCTATAAAGCTAGACTGAAGTGAATATTTTCAGCCTCAAAGTCTAAAAGAAAGATAATATCACCATTCAATATTACCATTCAATATTTTATAAAATATTCAACTATTGAGATATATTTGACAAAAATAAGACCTGTATATGAAACTGGGGAGAAAAAAAAAGGTGTAGGAGGAGGGAGAGTGGTATAACTGAACAGTCTATAAATTGTGAAAAATATATCTGATATCTTTTGGAAATTCTCTGAAGACTAAAACAGACACATTTGTTCCTTGCTTTTAGTAATTAAAACAGATACATAACTGATACTGATACACCGATTATTCTCAGTTCCAATTAATCTTCAAAAAATTAAGCAGTTGTCAGAAAGGACAGTCAAGTCTCAATGTTTTTATTTTTATTTTTTTCTCAATATTTTTAAAAAGTCCTTCAATCTAAATTATATAAAGCCCTGACCGGAATTTCCCAATGGTTAGAACATCAGCCCATGCATTGAAGGGTCTTGGGTTCAATTCCCAGTCAAGGCCACATACCTTACTTGCAGGTTGGATCCCTGCCTTGGTTGGGATGTGTGCAGGAGGCAACCAATTGATGTGTCTCTCTCACATCGATGTTCATCTCTCTCCTCTATTTTTCTCTCTCTCCCCTTCCCCTTCTACTCTCTCTGAAAATCAATGGAAAAAATATCCTCAGGTGAGGATTAAAAAATAAAAAAGTAAATGATAAAAAACAACAATAGGGCAGGATGCTATTAAAAAGAGAAAAAAACATACTTTTAAACATAATTCCTCAGTTATTTTTTTATGTATGATGCAATGTTCAAGTTCCTAATAATCCATATATAAGCTTATAAATAACTGCACACTTTTCAGAGCATGGAAAGTTATGCTAAATGGAAAATATTTCAAATGCATCACTTCATATTTTTAGACTATATAACAACTGTAATTGATATTGCTTACTCATCTGTCTATCTCCATAGCTGATGGCTTCCGCCAGTGGGCTCCATCCCTGAGCATTTTTCACTTTTACTGGAGCATTGTGAGCCAAAAGTAAATGGGCACATTCTGAAACATAAAGAGGTAATAATATCAAACATCATGTAATTTTTAGAAGCTCAATATAAAAATCATGTAAAAATTCAAGAAACCAAATTAATAGAAAACAAATCCATAAAATACTGCATTATGGAGAATTAAACATTTAATTCCTATGGATCACCCAGTCAGTGTGCCTCAGTGGTTGAGCATCTACCTGTGAACCAGGAGGTTGCAGCTCCATTTCTGGTCAGGGCACATGGCCAGATTGCGGGTTCAATCCCCAGTGGGGAGAGTGTAGGAGGCAGTCATTCAATGATTCTCTCATCACTGATGTTTCTATCTCTCTCTCCCTCTGATTTCCTCTTTGAAATCAATAAAAATACTTTAAAAATAATAATAATTATTATTATTTCTATGTATCTTAACCAGGTTATTTCAGATCCTCAGATTCATGAAGTATCAGTTCTAAAAATAAATTGGATCTCTGCAATGGAAGAATTATGTCTCTTAGTAATTGTTCTCAAGAGTATTTTGAAAATGTTTTCTACTCTAAAAGATAACCCAAGAACCTCAAGAGTAATTTACATCAAACAAAAAAGATTTGATTGTAATATCAAATGAGAAGCTCATTATTTCATCTCTTAAACAAGTAAACAGACTTAGTGGCATTAATAGTGAGATACTAGACATTATGTGTATCCTAAAGTAATGCAATATAATAAAGTTTATAGAGCTCCTTGGACCCCTTCCCAGAGCCCCAGTGCCCCTTTTCCTGACTCCCTCCCCTCATCTCTCCAAACCCTCTCCACTTCCCAGGCTCCTCTCCTGACCCAAAAGCAAAAAAAAAAAAAGTTCATAACATCACCTATGCAGCATGCTTTCCAGAAATGTTTAACCTGAATCTAATTAAGCCTCTATAGTTCATTTTCAATTTACAGGAGAAACTGAAAACAAAGAAAAAGTTAAATAATATCATGAGAAAATAGGTAAACCCAAGATGGGGGGACATTCTACGAATTAGCTGGGCAAGACTTCTAACAGGTACACAGGAGCAAGAAAAAGCTGGGCAAATTTTTCTAGATTAAGATAAAGAGACATATCAACCAAATGCAATGAGTAAACCTTGAACGTGCCTTGGTTTGATATAAAACATCTATAAAAAACATTTTTTAAACTGAAAAAATAAAATCTGAATTAGATATCAGATATTCAATAATATTATTAATTTTCTTAGGTGTGATAACGATAACATGGTATGAAGGAGAATGACTTAGAGATGCATGCTGAAGTAGTTGTGGTAAAATGTCATTATGTCCACATCTAATTTTTAAATGGTACAGCAACAGTAATACATATAACCTGCTAAGATAAAAAGGTAATGTAAATATGATAAAATATTAACAATTACTGAACCTCGATGGAGAGTACTTGAATGTTCGTTGTGATAATCTCTCACATATATTTGAAAGTTTTCAGGAATGTAAAAATAATTTTAAAGGAATAAACTTAAGCTATCCCAATGTGGAATGTCCACATTGTACTGCTAAATGAAAATGCAGAACTATATATTATGATCCCAATTTTTAAAAATTACATATATGAGTGTGTATTTAGACACATACACACATATTTGTATATAATTTGTATATAATAGTAAGCATGGAAAAAAGTATACAATAATATCCAGCAGGTTAACATGGCTTACCATGTTAACTGGGAGGAGGGGGTTAATAAAGAGAGAAAATGATAAACAAGATAAAAAGAATTTTTAAAAATAAATAAATAAAAAGGACCCTCTCCTCAAGAAACCTAACATAGGGTTTTACATAAATGTGTATATGTGTGCACATACAAAGAAGTTGGGGAAACACAAACATGAATAGATATCTACAGACTTGTAAAAATATTTCGTGATAAACATTTGAATGAAAAGAAAAACATGGCAAAGTACTATATGTAGTGATTTAACTTCAGTAAAAGTAAACTAAGCCTCTGTGTTATAAGTAGTAAGATGTGCAAGGATACACATTAGGTTATTAATGTTAATATCATCAGAAAACAAGTAGGAGATACGTTTTTATACAAGTTGGGGGGCAAAAGTAGATTTATAGTTGTTTGTATGAAAAAAAAAAACATGCAGGTTATGATTATTACAACAGCTTTATTAACTTCTGTGTTTCACATGCTCACAACTATAAACGTACTTTTGCCCACCCCTGTGCATCTTTGTTCTGCATTATTTCAATTGTTTCAATAAGAATGTATTAATAACTTCAAAATCATTAAAGAAAAAATTTTTTAATTTAAAAATAATAAGCAAGATGCACATCAGTGTCTAAAGCAAATATCCCAATTGTGGAAACTAAGGTACAGGATTAGCATGATTTAAATGCTAGGTATTATCAACTATGTTTTCTAATATACTACAAAACCTGCTGAATTTGGTGCCCTTTACTCACCAGTTATAACTCAACTGACATAGAAATGAGCAACTAAGGAAAAGTCAGATAACCATAGTTATGTCAATGATCTATGACATTCTCATACATTTAAAAAAAACAGGATCAGTCAAATGCCTTCTCTCTGTATTTTAAAAATGAATAATAAGAAAACAAGGTAGTTATCAACCAGGCACAAAGGCTTAAAGAGTACATGAATATGGCACAAAGAAGTTAAAACTTAAGTAATGTGGGCAAAATGAAATCATGAGAAACAGAAATCACATATAAATAAGCAAAAACTATAAAGGTGGTAAATACAAAGAGAGTAGAATAGGACAGTTGGAAACAAAACAGAAAATCCAGAGAGATCCTTATGAAAGTTAGAATAATCCTAGAATTATTTCAGGGAGAAAATTTTTAAATTGCATATCCAAAAAAGACTGAGAATGAATTAAAAGTTGCAGCAACGGGCCTGAAGAATACATCTCTGATGTCTAACAAAAAGGATAAGAATTAAAGATTAGTTTTCCATTTCATCTCCTAAAGATTCTTAAAATCTTCCTTAAGTATAATCCATTTTAATTAAAATCCATAATTCAAAATCAAGGCCAACATGATCAATGAATCCAGAAATTCAGAAAAATCAGACCTCAAAGGTGAAAAAATAAGGTTATTCAGTAGGTTAAGATGAGCAAGAGAAATAAATAAAAGTGTAGAAGTCATATGATAGTCCTCTCTCTAACTCAATCAATAAATACAATTTGAATGAACTAGGAATTTATATTGTGCTTACAAAGAAGTATACAAACAGAAAGTGCCCCTCAACAATGAAATCACAAAAGGTATAGTATAGCTCTAAAGAAGATAGAGAACAGAGTAGCACAAACTGAACACTAGTATGTAAAATTAACTTACAGTAACCAATGGACACAGACACTGGGGGCTTGCCCAGGGTGAGAATGGCTGGGGGGAGGAGGGTGTTAATTGGGGGAAAAGGAGATATATGTAAAACTTTAGACAATAAAAGAAGAAAAAAAATAAAATAAATTAACTTACAGAATTAAGTACAAGGTAGATGTTTTAACTTCTACTACACATTTCTATTTGACTCTTGTGCAACCAAATATAAAAAAATATTAAAGGACATAGTTTTTTTATAAAGTAAAAAAAAAAAAAGAGCATAAAAGTGGAAAAATAGCCCTAGCTAGTTTGGCTCAATGGATAGAGCATCAGCTTGCAGAATGAAGGGTCCCGGGCTCAATTCCGGTCAAGGTTACATACCTCGGTTGCAGGCTCCCGGCCCTAGGTGGGGGCATACAGGAGGTAACCAATCGATGTGATGTGTCTCTTTCACATCAGTGTTTCTCTCTGTCTCTCCCTCTCCCTTTCACCCTCTAAAAATCAATGGAAAAAATATCCTTGGGTGAGGATTTTAAAAAACAAAAGTGGAAAAATATAAATGGACAAAAGTAAATTGGTCAGTATATTACTGAAAAGGACTCAGAAAGAGCAAATACCAACATTATTTGCAGATCATGAATCATCAGTTTCCCAAAATACCTTCCACAGAATTATAGTGTCTACTAATGAAAAAAAGCAAACATCAAATAACTATAAGGAACAATGACTCCAATCCAACATTTTCCCCAATAACCCAGAGATGCAACAACTCATGATATGCATTCCCCACAATGCATATCAAAGTTCTAAGAAGGTCCATAATAAAGAAAACTGCTTAATGCTTATTAATCCACTATCTTCCAAATTGATAAGACCTGGAGACACTATTTTCCTCAAAATACTTAGCAATATCCCAGGAAACCAATGTTCTGTGAACTACATTTTGTACAGGCTGATATAAACCTATGATGAAGCATAACAATACCTCCACCTAACATTTAGAACACTTAGGCCTGGGATGGTAAATATGCTTCATTTCACATTCAAATCCTGGTAAATTCATACTTGCATTAAAGTACAAAATTTAGAACAGTAATCAGTCTTGGCATCTCATTAACTACGTCTGCCATGAAAACTGGAGGAAGACATGATGTTAGCTAACTTTGATATAGATCATATCTTTTTTTAATGGTTCTCAGTAAAAAGAGATCAAGGCAGTTCAGCATAATAGGAATCCAAGCTCTACAGCCCGATACTCCATGTTCAGTAAAATCCTGCAACTTTACTCTGGAAAAGTTGCTTAACTTCTCAGAGCTAAGTTTTTTTAAATCTGTAAAATGGGGCTAATAACAGTATTTTCCTCATATGGTTATGTTAAACAAGTAAATATGTGTAAAGAACTAAAAAAGAGCACCTACCATATTGTAAATGATGAACATATTTGTTATTTTCTAAAGTTCTGTTCCAATGCCCTTTGGGAAAAAGTGCAAGTGTTTACTGGTCAAATTTAGCCAACTATATCTGATTCATGTTCACCAATGTTGCTATACTAGAGATGACTAGAGATGGCCTTCCCTACCTACATACCTGCTAAACTAAACATTCTTCCTCTGTATTTCTGATTCTCTCTCCCACCCACAATGCTCATCCCAAGCCAGGTAGATGGAGATAGTTTCACAAAAGTAA